AAATCTGAAGAGGTTATCTCATTAGATAGCATAACTTCCTCTTGCAGACAATACTTAGAATTAGAGGCCAATTCAATAATAGATTTGCAAAAGTCTGCAACTAAAACCCTCTCATTAGTCAAGGATGCTGTTGGACTAGACGATCCCTCAAAAGTCACTTGGCTTTTCATCCCTTCTTCTCTCTCTAAAGAGGTCACACTTGATCCAACGTTAGAAAGACTGCAGATGGAAACCTCATTACCCGAAGTTCCATCCATTAAGCTGGAACAATGCAAAGCATCGACTCCACCAGCACGTGATTGAAGGCTAACATGTACACGACCCTTTTCGATATCTGTACCTTCAGCAGGTCTAAAATTTTTATGACATAAATTTAAGGTTGTATCCGGAGGATGAAAGCTATCTACATCTATGGACCCCAAACACATGCCATTTGTTACTGAACCTGACAAATCTACCTGATAAGTCAAAACTTCTCCCTTGTTACAAATGTTAGGCTTATCTTCATCATTGCCTTGTATTGACATTATTGCATCTGGAGGTCCTTTTGCCAAACCATTCTTTGGTGATGTTGTGACTGCATCACAATGTGCCTGTCCACAAGTAGTACTGCCCAATACATGGTTGACTTCCTTTGCATCAATTAAACTGCTGTCTGAATCTGTGAAGGCATCTCTGCTATTGTTGCAGGATTTTGCATGCGAGAAGCCAATTCTAGTTCTGGTTTCCACTGAATTAGATGCTGTGTTAAGTACACTACAGTCCTGTAAAGAAATAACCTGTGGAGAACCTTCTTCAATACCACTCTCAACTGACAAATCGACATGGTTTTCAGAAACCTGCTTGCAAGCAGAATCCATGATTACAGTTTCAGAAAAAAAATTACTCTCTTGAGAATTGAATAACTTATAGTCAAGGCTGACGGTGGTATCCATCCCACTGACAAGGTTGCTAGTGTTTACAAAGTTCTCATGGATACTGTTTTCCTTTGAACCTAACAACCCGGAGCTAATTCTACCTCCAACAGAAAATGAAACATCCAAAAATTCCATCGGAGTACCATTCTGAAGCAAGGTACCTCCCTTCTGACAAAATGGCTTGTGGACATTTTCAACATTAGTGATGTCAGTAATAGTTGTTTCATTATGTGGTTTATTACAATACCCATCATTATTTGACACAGTACATGCACTATTTTTAAATTCAGTGCCGACATTCTTCAATACTGTCTCCTTTGGAGAACCATCTTCCATACCATTCTCGGGCAACAGAGTTGCTTCATTTGCATAAGGCAGGGAATCGACAGCGCACACACGTGATATACAAGCAGGTGCCTTCTCCTGTAAAGGTGTGGCAATATTCTCAACACTGCACTCCGCGAGTAAGCCATGACCAGAGCTATCTTCTTTTAAAGATTCCTCAACCTTCCCTGTTAATTCTAAACACAACAATCGTGATGGAGGCTTAGTAACTCTCTTCACTACTTTCTTCACAACTTTTTTCTTCTTAATAACTTTGGGTTCACTAGGATCAGCATCAGTGCCATCCTTGTCCAAATCACTATCCTTGGGATACTCTTCAACTTTAGTCTTTCCCAGCAAACCCCCAGTCCCACTAGAAGGCCGTGTTGAATTATTTATCTTGGTATCAATACTGGAAGCCGCATCTTCCCCTTTAGCTTGTTTTGAGTCCCTGTTCGAACCAGAGGCCTTATTGCTAACATGGGTGGAAATATCTAGTTTTGGAATGCCTTCATTGAGTTTTGCAGGTTGTGAGCTCTTATATTCTTTGTTGGGCATAGTGATTTTTCCGAATTTTGCTACTCCTAGGTGTCAAACTAGTACCAGAAATGTTTGAACTTGAAGGTGCCACAATTGCCTTGGCTACCAATGAATTCGACTTAAAAGAAACATCAAGCTCCATGGGGCTTCCCTCTCTCTCTTTGTCTTCCGCCATTGAACCTTTACCCCTGAATGAACTAGATTTGGTATCCTCAAAATAACCCGAATAATGCAACCGATTGTCCTCTCTATTCCTGTGGTTAGGTTTTGCCATTTGAATCCTCAGAAAAGCACTCTTCTTTTGTATCTGCTTCCATGGAGTACGACCGAGCTCATGACTACTCTCTCTGCTACCCTTGTCGTTATATCTTTCTGCCGGTGTAATATGAGAACCAACTTTCCTTGAAAGAATGCGAGCCACTTCTCCATCATCAATCTCGGCATTTTCCATCTCAATCGCTGAATCCCGGATGTCTCTCTCATCAACCCATATTGGATTGTCAGTTGAGCCATCTCTCGCATTGCTCCTAATCACTCCCTCCTCTGAGGCTGAACCATAACTGTTATCGTAATGACTAGAATTGGATTCATAAACCCTCATTACAAGGCCCACATCCCTGGAAGATCTATCAGAATGACAATTATAGTTCTCTTCAATCATATCCCTCGCATAATCTTCTCGCACATTATGTCCAAACCCCCTATTGCTAAGCTCCTCCCTAAACCTAAAATCACCCTCTAAATCCTGCCTAAACCTATCAATAGTCCGATCCTGGGACACGGTTCTGCCGTCAAATTGACGGTGGTGATCCAAATCATCAACATGATGGTGTTGATGCGGCCGATTCTCTGTACCAACCCGGGTCAGATAATCCCACAAATCAGGCCGGACCTCTCGTTTGACTGGGGAGACTCGGTGGTTGAGGATGACCCGATGGGTAGGCCAAGAAGAGTCGGGTAGATCATGGAACTGATGGTGTGAGGAGGACGAAGGGGCCGCCGGCTGTGATCTGGGGTGATGATTCATACGATCGTCCGGGTGAGGATTATAGATGAATTGACGGAGATCGTATGGGCGCTGAGGAGGGAAAGGTCGGTAGGACGGCAATTGTTGTTGCGGCTGCGGTTGCGATGGAGGAATAGGTGGTAGCGGCAACTGATGCGGTGGCAGCGCATGGTAGCTGTGGTGGTGGTGATGATTGCCATAAAAAGTAGGGTTTTCATGAAAGGAATGAGGAGGACGAGGAGGACGAGGAGGACGAGGAGGAGGAGGAGGAGAGAAAGGAGCGTACCTGTGGGAGTTGTTTTGGTGGAGGTATGGATGATTCATGGCGTATGTGTGAGTTTGGGTGCGAAATCTGTCTACAAATTTCTTCCACTGTTTCTTGACGTTCAAATGGCGTGTTGCTTTCCTTTCTAGTCTCGCCTCTGGTTTTGATGATTTACAGCGTGGTTTCTACGTACTTTGAACTTCCCCAAATTTTTATATTGGACTCGGAACTAATAAATTTATATAAATAAATATGCTTTTGTATTTATAATTCTTATTATAATATTTTTAATTATACATGGTTTAGTAATAATTAAAATATTTTAATACTTTATTTTATTAGTATTAATAAAAAGTATATATTTAAATATACAAAATACTAATATATACAATTTATACTTTATTTTGGCCTATCTTGTATAATATTTTCAACACTATTTTAGTTTATATACGAATAAATGGCAACAGCATGAATAAAATTATCAGCACATACAATTTAATAACAAGAACACAAGCACACAATACCTACATAAAAAAAGCTATACAACAAGCTTATGCAATTATAAATTCCTGAGTAGATCCGAAGATCCTCACCAAAAGAACCGAAGAATTCTGTCTTCTCTCCTTCTGGCTGTACCAAAAAAAGAAAACATTTCTTCATCATTCCGGTAAATTCTAAAAATGGCGCAACCTCCGAAGTACAACCTGTCCGTAGAACTGCCTTGTTCGGAAGAACAATGCAAGAGCAATGAGAAAACCGAAGAAAGCAACGGATGCCATGATCAGGAAAGACAACGCAAAGCAATGAGTGCCGTAGCAAGAGTTATTGTCATCAGATGAAACCTTGTCGTAAATGAACCCTATCACCCATACGGAGAAAATATAAGAACCAATCGGACTAGCTACGGAAATGGTGTTGAAGATGGTGCCCAAGTGCCCCACCCCAAATATTTCTGAAGTGATGCTGGGCATCAATGACCACTGACTTCCATAGCAAACACCGACTATAATAGAACCCGCATACAGATTGCCAGGGAAACCAGAAGCAATAACTACATGGCCGATGGTCATCATTGCTAGAGTGATAACCATGAACAATGGCCTTCCCCAACCTCTTCTGTGTAGAAATATATCTGACAAATACCCAGCTCCAAAACGACCAAGGAAATTCCATATACTCCACAAAGAGACCAAAGAATTTATCTCAGTGGTTGTGTAGTGAAGAGATTCACCTACTTGACTGATGTTATTTATTGTTGCAAGCCCGGAGCCCATTCCACATATCATGGCAATGAACAATAACCAAAAATTGACAGTACATATTGCTTGTAAGAGATTCATGTCTCCATCCCATGCAGCAGCATCCTTTGCATCCCCAGGAACCTTGTGATACTCTCCTTTATCTTCTCCTGCAGAAAATTTGCTGGATACTGTTGGCTCAGGGTTGTCCATCAAAGGAGTTCTTACAGGAGAAATAGTCCTCGAATATCTCTCTGTATCATCACTATCGGCTTTGATCGCCAGGGTAAGAGGTGCAGCAAGTAAAAGAAGAAGAAATATGAAAACAACAGTCTGTACCCACTGTGGCAAGCCCAAGATATTCTGCAGAAGTATAATAACCAAGAGATAAGCAGCAACGCTCAATGCAACAGCTGAGAAACCATCCAGGTGCTTTTTCTCATGAATCGAGCTTCTCCCATATATTCTTACGAAATGCATGAGCAAGAGGGAGACAAGTGTAGGTGTCACTGCAAGGACAAGTATGTAAGCAGTAGGATTTCCCTTGCATACTGTGTCATACAGCTGGATCAGTATTGCCCCACTTAGACCAAGAAATCCCTGGCAAAAATAGAAGGCGGAATGACACCCTTTTTTCTAACCAAATCTGTGCTTAAAACACTTAAACTTAGTGCTGGACCACTATAAAGAAACAACTGTTTGCTAACAATGTTACAGGCAGTCAATATGTACACTCTAAGTGCAAGTCAACATTTTGTAGATAGAACTGTAAGTTGCTCAGGAACCAAAACCATCAATTTTGTTTTTTCATAACTTACAGCGCAAGTAGGAATTACTTCAACTAAACTTACTCATTGCAAAGAAACTGAAACATAACATAATAAGTAATCTGAACATTTCAATGGTAAATAACAACTTGCTGCAACTCAGTGAGTTCTAAAACCATTGATGTCCTAGATGGTATCTCTCAGTAAGTCTAACTCGTAGTCCAAAAATTTAGGTAAACGATTATTCCATTCGTTTTTACCTTAAAAAAGCATAGGCACACAGATAAGGCTACCTCATGTCATGTGTCTACCTATGTTCTCGGCTACCCTCTAATCTTACCAAAACATACAAAGGCTTGAAATCAAATTCACATATAACAATAGCTTATAGCAGGAAAAGATGTAGACATGGGATTCTGTAGCTCATTAGACTTCTCATTCAAATTTCATGACAGCCATTAGCAAGTAGAATTCCTTGTTCTTGTGTTTCTAAGTTAATTGTGCAAGTTTCTGGGCTTTGCGCAGATTGGTTTCTTGTTTGGATATGAAGCTTTCTTAGCTACAATAATTTTGTTTTCTTGTCAATTTCCTAATCTGAATGGTTAGGCAAAAGTCTTAGTAGTTTAAAAAGTAAAAATAAAAAAGTTAAAAAATTGTGTCACATCCAACAAGGATGCCAAATGGGTTGCAGAAGATCCAAAACTTCGCTTAGCAATCACTTAAATCCCCTGTACGCTTTCTATTCACTATTCCAAATATACTGGTTCAACTTTGGACAAGAAAAATCAGCTACTATTAGAAAATTAATTTCATCCAAGAACAAAAGATAAAAAATTTCAGTTCCTTTCGTGTCACAAGTTCTTAAATTAAAAACTAAGTGTCCGAGAAGAAGATAAATTGCGAAAGGAAGAAAACCTTCATGATGCCAACGATGGTTCCACCATAATCAGTAAAGTTCTGGACACCGCTGACGACGTTGGCCGTGTTAAAGAAAGTCTGCGCGTGGGCGGCCAGGAAGAGAAAGAAGCACATCAACGGCACCGGAGGGCGGTGGATCAATCCGACGACGGAGGCCCACATTAGAAAGTAGCCAACGAAACATTGAATCGCCCCCGCGGCGTGCACCACCCATGGCCCCTGGAGAAGACGGTGGCGATGACGACTATGAGAGACGGCGGAGTAGAGGATGCCGGAGAAGATACCGGCGTTGGCGCCAATGTCTTTGAAGACAGAGACGGTGTCAAGCGTTGATTGGTCATAAGATTGGGAGGACTTGAGGGTGGGGGAGTAGATGGCGAAGGTGTATGATGAACCAGCGGTGCACTGGATCCATATGCTAGCTACCGTTGCTATCCACTTTGTGTTTAGCTTCTCCATTTCTGTTCCTGCGGAAAATCAAAATCCGCCACAGAGGTGATTAATGGTTAGTTTGCCAGCGCGAATGAGATGGACATGGCGGCAGTTTTTGTGTCCCACGCATCTGAAAGATTTTTGTACCGTGAAAACTCATGTAGTCCGCACGCCACAAATAAGGAAGGGAGCACAAATTATTAGTCAAACGTACTATAGATAGTGATAGCAATGGGAGTAATTTTAAAACCCACTTCGGCTAAATCTGAATACGGCCCATTTGAATCTGTTCCCAACCCCAAATGAATTTTGTAAAGCCAAGTCTGAACTGCTTCTGATATGTTACTGTTTCCATTCATCTGAACTCGATCTGATCTGGACCCGTATTTTAACGAAAAAAATAGTATCAGATTAGATTTAGGTGGATCAAATTAAATGAATTCAGGTATAAAGTATTATCTCTACTCAGTGGGTTTTGGATTTGTATAATCTTTAAACATTTTGGATTGCAGATTACCATTAGAACTCATATTATCCCAATTTGTAATGGATTTGGGGTTCCACCCATGAATCTTTTGACACCCATTTGAAGAAAGGGAAAACCCAGAAGCCTTGCAGAGATACTTAAAGAAAAAAGGTAAGAACTTTGCCCATGAATCTTTGGATACCCATTTGAAGAAAGAGAAAACCCAGAGGCCTTGAATAGATACTTCAAGAAAAAAGGTAAGAGCTTTGCGGCAGTGGGCATTAGGTTCTTTGTTGGGCTTTAGTGTGTGGGCTCTGAAGATATGGATTTGATATTCTCCTGTAATGGATGTATCTATACACGGTAGTATATATTTATTTCATTAGCTTGGATATAAGCACTGTAGTTGTTTTTTTAATGGACAGCACAGTGTTAATAAAATGTAGTAGTGGGTACATAATAGTATTTATGGAAAAGAAAATTCAAAAGTGGCAGGCAAATGACAAAGGCAAAAAGTGCATTTTCATGTGCGTTGAAAGACAAGGATTGTGGATGTAGCCTAAGCCAATGAAATTTTGTACGGTGAAGATGAATGGAAAATGGATGACCATGGAGATAGATAGTGGATGAAGTATACCCCTAGTTAAATCCATACATAAATACATACATGATGGATACATACATATACATATACATATATATTGAAGGTTTTAATGACACATTAATATATATAAGTTAGAGAAATTGGGGGGGTTGGGGGGGGGGGGATTGGCATTTAGGAGGGTTGGTGGGGATGGAAAGATATTTAGGCGCGGGAAGGGAGTTGAATTGGCGAGTGTGTCGGTGGCGGTCGGCGTGGAGTGGGGACTTGTTTTTTACCTTAACGCCATCTACCAAGTGTACAAGTACAATTACAGTTCCACATTTGAAGAGGAAAAAAGTGAACAGAAAAAAAAAACAAAGCTGAAATAATATTAGTAGAAAGCCACTCCATGATTTGGATTGGACTTGACCCATGTTTAAACCTAACTTCTTTCACCATCTCGTGAGCCACAAACCTACACTTTTTAAAATTCTTCTTCTTGTCTTCTTATTACTTAATTTGATCTCAACAACCAATTTTACTTGTTGGGTATAAAATTTAAACTAAATTATACCAGTGTTAAGATAATACTTAACATGTTAGATATAATTTTCATTTTATTATATAGGATTCACCAATTTACAGTACAACAATTACCACAATTTCCACTAACACCAATGGATCAATACAGAAACTGACAAAAAAAGAAATTTCTCTGCCTCCAAAAAGGAGGAGAAGTAAAAAAAAAAAAGAAAAAGTCTTTTGTGGTGACAACACTTGTGAGTAGTAGTACAAGTTTGGGAAGGAGGAGGGCACACCTGCAAACAACCTCTCATCCAACACCCATTTATCCAATCTCTCATAATTGTAACCAACCAAATAAACACATATACAAAAATATCTCACCAAACTCAACCATGTTTAGTTGCATTCTGGTGTTATTACTTCAAATGGTTAATTAGTCGAAGCTCGAAGAGCGGCTACACCTGCCTCGGAGGTACTCCTCTAGTGAGATGCATTGCTCTATGCTGCTAATGGACAGTGAATCATCTTCCACATCTAGCAGTGCAAGGTTGAGGTGGGACTGTAGATTAGATTGTGGAGGACAGGATTCATCATCTGCCATGTCAAGTTGATCTTCTGATGCATTCACTTGTAGCCTTGCCCACTTTGTGACTTCAGCATCCCCTTTGAGGAGCTTTAAAACCTACACCAATCAGATTAATAACATATGAATTTTACATGTAATTACTTCTACTATCTGCTTCATTATATAAAGAAATGACTTACCAGGCTCATTTGAGGCCTTGCTCGCGGGGCGCGTCTGATGCAGAGAGTGGCAGCTAAAACCATTTTCTCCATCTGGTCATGATCATACTTGTTGCATAGGCTTGGATCCAATAACTGAGAAACTTTTCCACCATTATTTAAAATGGGTCTTGCCTGGAGAAGATAGATAACTTGTTTTGTTAGCCAAGGTCAGGATATGAACTTAGTGTTAACAAAGTTTCATACTTAGTGAAAAGGACATACCCACATGACAAGGCTCTCCTGGCCTTTAGGATAATCACTGCTTATGGGCTTCCTTCCTGTAAGAAGCTCAAGCAGTACAACTCCAAACGCGTATACATCAATTTTTTCATTTACTTTGCCATACATGAAATACTCAGGAGCCAAGTATCTGCAACAGGAAGCATTATGTTAATGAAATACTCTGGGTCCTTTTTTCTTTTCCAGTAGAGAAAGCTACGGTTTCACATACCCAAAGGTTCCTGCAACGTCAGTGCAGGTCATATGAGTTGAGGATTTTGATGCCCATTTTGCAAGTCCAAAGTCTGAAAGCTGGAAAGAACAGTAGAATAGCATGATTTCTTTAGATTTTTTCTCCTGTTCTGGTGAGAGAATAATCTATGGATTTGGAAAAAGAAGTACCAGAGCAAAATGAAATTACCTGAGGCTCAAAATCTTCAGACAAAAGTATATTTGATGATTTAACATCCCTGTGAATCACAGGTTGGGCGGTGCCACTATGCAGATAATCCAAGGCCTCGGCTACCCCTACCGCCACCTTATATCGCTCAGTCCAACCAAATTCAAGCAGATCTTTCTTATTACCTGTATCATTTAAAGGTTGGATAGAAATCAGAGGGATTACAACTTAATATGGATATCAAGCAAGGAATATCTGTGAAGCTTGAAAAGCATGAGCAGAGCATTATGGAAGATTCTAAGGGCATACCATGAAGGTTCTGCTCAAGGCTGCCTCTTGATAGAAAATCATAAACCAGCAGAAGATTATTGTTCTCAAAACAGAAACCCAAAAGGGAAATGATGTTCTTGTGATTTAAAGTTGTAATAATCTCAATCTCCAAAACGAATTCCTTCAACACATCTTCACAAGGCTTCAGAATTTTCACGGCAAGTTCCTTACCGTCAGGTAGGCAACCTCTGTACACTTTACTGCTGCCTCCTTTACCAACCAAATTTTCTGAAATCACATTTATAAAGTGTTACAGAAAATTAAATTTCCCCATTATAGAAATTAAGAAGATTTCGAATTTCAGGAGTTAAAAGACAAACCAGTCGAAAAATCTGATGTTGCTGACAGGAGCTCCTGGTATTGAAACAATCTGCAAGTTGCCGAGTACTTCTCATGAAGACCCTCCAATTCCTTAGGTAGGCATCTTGAGTTGCAATCAGGAGAAGATGGAATTCTCACAGTTTCAGTCCCTACTGGAACTATAGCACCACTTTCTCCATCTAAACTCTGAGATTTCTTTTCACCCTTTCTAGAATCATTCTGTTTATCATCTGGCGTGGAAATGGATGAAGTATTTCTAGAGGGCAACCTTAAAGCCCACTGAACCACTGAGATTTTCCTCAATGAAGATCGCTCAGTTGCACGTCGGTCTGTTAAAATAGCACGACGAAGCAGTGGCCAACCAGGTCTGGTTTCAGGCAATTGCCTGATCAACGTAGAAATCGAACTTGACCGTGCCTCTACCGTTTGCACAGGCACTATAGCCATGGATTTATCATCACCACCATTATCACCTGAACATTTTTCTGCAGATTGGTTACAAGATGTAACCGGTAATGCAGCAGATGGTTCAGATGGTCCACAAATGGAGCAATTCTGCTTCGTAATCCCCTCCAAAGCATCTGAGCTGATTTTTACCAAGCTCAAATCAGGTTTCCGGTGATCACCCTGATCATACGCCTCCTTCGGGGTTACTTTGGCATTGGCTTCACTTAGTACTTTTCGATTAGTACTCGGTGATATTGACCTCTGAATTACATTGAACAAATTATTTGGACGATGATCTTCCTTTCCTGCAACAAGTAAATCACTATAAGTATTCTACCAAAGCCATGGAAAACCAAGAAAGAAACTTAGAAACCGGGAAATTCCACAACCTTTTGAGCAATTAGGGGTTAATTGAAAACCCTCTTTCTGGTAAAGAATTTTCCCATTATTAACAGCAAGAACCCAGCAATCGTTTGAGAGTTTCTTGGCACAGTATTTAGCTACAGATGTTGAAGACCGGATTGCGTGGTGATTTCTGGCTGTTCCAACTATCACCTTGCTTGCAATATAAGATTTTGCTTCTCTAACTAAAATCTTTCGAATTGAAGAACCCCTGCAGACCTTTAGCTTGAGATCCACCTGTAAAAAACACCAGCAGCAACTCTACATTTCAAGTCTCTGCTTGATTAATCATATACAGAAATACCTACACTACTAAAGATCATAAGGTATAAGAAAGAACAAAAATATCTGCCCAACTGACCCTAACCCAAGCATACAAATCACAAGGCATAACGTACTGGTATTTTCTCCACAATCAAACAAAAATCAAGAGAAAATAAGAAAATGGTAAGAACAAGAGAGAACGAAAACTTGAGGAGAGAGAAAAATCAACCTGCTTCAAGTTGCAGAAACCTTCATAAACGGCAAGAACAGAGTCAAAGGCTTTGACAAGCGAAAAAAGCGAAGACCTCCCATTTCGATCCACAATTTCTACACATTTCGGTAAAAAAAAAAATTACACATTAGAATGAACAAAAACTCAAGGACCAACACAACGAGGTCCAGACACCTTCAAAACAAAACGGTAACAAATTTTCCAGTCTTCAATCTTTTTATTGTC